AAATAGTAATAGTAATAATAATAATATAATAATAAATAATGATAATTTAATAATTCATTAGTTGATCAATTTGACGTGTGCCATGTAATAACTTCGGGAGAAAAAATAGTTCGGTATAAAATAATGATACGTAGAGGTTAAAATCCGGAGCATGCTGCCTGTTAGGCGCTTCGTCTCGTTCTGAGACCTTATCACACRAGATATCATCTCTCCGAGACCTTTTTATTTTGGCGTATATTAATCTAGCTCATTTGAAAAACAATATATGCTACTCTACTATGATTGAGTCAACTCGGATAAAATTCTACAAGATCGACTGGGCCATTGGTTTTCGACCCCTCGATCGCCTTGAGGCAAATAACTGTGCACCACGCTGCAAGTCGCTAGACCTCAGTAGACCGTAGACCTACAAAACTTTGCACTAATTTTTACATTTTTTAATTGACTTTTTCACGGATATATGGTATGCACTCTAAGGGAGGGGGATCTTTTTACTAAATGTATTAAAGTTTGAGACTGAACATATGTTATCGATTCCATCGCAGACCAAGACGTTTGTCGGACTGGACAAAGAAGAATGGATATTCATTACCTTATCAGTACTAAACTTCATGGTCGCCATCGGTTTTACCATAGCAAGAATGACTCAAATACCCACAGATACGCCTGATTTTACTTTTGCTGTTATATTAATCATCAATGCAGGTATATATACGTCCTAGCTTGGCCAGTTTAGCTTAGGGGCTTGGTCAAAGCAATAGTTCAAAAGGTGCCGCGTCGATGGGTTACCAATAGACATTTTCACCGAAACGACGGCCATCTTGAATTCTATCGTTTTGATTAAGACATTATGGGATGTCGAGGAGGCAACTATTTGCAAACTGTACAGCTGTCAGGGTGTCTCTTTATATAACTTTACTCTTTTCAATGAGAAATGCATCTAAACCCCTCCATTTATGCTTTATAAATTTTCAACGTGTTTGCCGGGTCGGAATCCCATAATTCAAGATGATCGCTGTATAAGTAAATGTTTCTTACGTTAGTATGGTGCTCCACTTACCGCGCGCGGAAGCTCCGCTATTACAAAATTCTTGGCGCAATGCTGGTTGAAAGAACAAGAAAACGATGAGAAACTTCTTTGCAAATTCGTCCAACATGGTCCTTGATCGAGCTTTAGTTCCTTTTAAAATAATTGATATCAAAGAAGCTCAGCATTATTTGAGTTATAAGATTTCCAGACAAAATGAAAGTTATATAGAGAGAAAACACACAGCTTAATCCTTAAGATGTCGTCGCCAGTATTTGAATTTGCAAATTGACCAATCATAGCGAATGAAATTACCTTGCCATATAATTTTACTTTTTGTACTTTTCAGTGTTCTCTAATTGTGAACTTTGCCAAGAAACAGCCGATTTTATAGTAGATGCTTCTGCGGATATAGTAAACGGTCGATCTCTTTATTTTAAGTTTTGTAGATAATCCAAAGAACATTTTCCGAGTCTCACAGAACTCGGAATATGGGCTTTTTCTACGATGTTGAGAAGCTTTTGTGACCAAAGGATTGCACAGAATCTTAGAATATTACTTTCCAGATGTGTTTATACTTTGTTTTCGTCAATTTATTTAGTTCCTTAGAAATTTTAGAGCGAGGTAAAGTGCTTTCACTTGACCGCCATATTGGAATTTCTAAGTTGTTATAACGTGAAAATGCATCATTGAGGGAGGGGTGAGTCGATTGATCACGTGATATGGGTTTCTTACATCTCGAAATCTGAACGACAACAATAGTGGRTACCGTCTCTGACGTAGTATCCACTAAAAACCCTAACTAGAAACTAATATTTAATCTTTTTTCCAGTATTCTGTGTCTTCTACGCTATCCACGGTGTCCTACGAGAAAGAGAGTTTGAAATCTACGCWTACATCGCAGCCATAATAATTGTTTTCTCATATGTATTGATAAACCTTGTCAATAATCCGGAAAAACGAAATGCAGTCAAATGGGTGAGTGTAGGTTTAGTGAGGGCATATATCGGGGCAGGGCCCTATGGTACATAGACATTAAGTCCCAGGCCTGGCGCGACTACGCGCGTTTTGTCGCGAAAGATCCCGACAAACCACATTTTTTTGGTCCGTTCAGACAAATGGCCCTCGAACGTACGTAAGACAAATAAATAAGTACCATTTATTACGATTTCCGCGATGAAATTTTTAAAAATCTCTTGACCATTCGGAATAAKAGCTGGTACTATAATAGCAACGAATTGTCAAGTATAATAAAGTCGATTCAATGTTTTCATCTTAATTTCGATAGGCTCGATTTGGCACTATCTTGCTGTTTGCTCCGTTTAACATTTACTATGGTATCGTTGTGGCACGAGGGTTTGGATTTTTGGAATTCAGAATAGTTGGAGCAGCTGTTACCCTACAAAGTAACTATTATACAGATAGTTATTTTAGTAGATTTATATAGTATATATTTTATATAGTATATATTTATATAGTATAGTACATTTACGGTGTTCAACTTATCTATARAGAAAAAATATCGCTCTGGGATCCTCACGAATACCCTACATTTCATATTCTGGCTGCGTTACCAGCGTGGTTGGTCCTTGTAGTGTAGTGGTTAACACATCGGACTGGAATACCGAAGACGTGGGTTCGAATCCTGCCAAGGGCATTTGATATTTTTCTCTTATTCTCTCTACTTCATTATATACACACCGAACGCACAATTTATTATACAGATAATAAATATTATCTATATATCAAACCAACCAACCAACCAACCAGCCAACCAACCCACCAGCCCACCAGCCCACCAGCCCACCAGCCCACCAGCCCACCAACCCATTATCCATCCATTCATCCATCCATCCATCCATCCATCCCTCCCTCACTCCCTCCCTGCCTCCCTCTCACTCTGCCATCCTCCCTCTCATCCTCAATATATCTATCTATCCATCCATCCATCCATCTATCATCATCATAATCATTATAATCATCCTCATCATTATCAAACACGCTAAGAAACAAARTACATCCTTTTGTTGATATCACTTTCAGCTTTAGACAACAATATTTTTCTACCTTATCATTTACTTTGTTGCTTTAATTATAATCTATTTCAGAGATGTACAGAAGAGCTGGCATATTTTCCTGCCTGCTAAAATTTGACTTCCAGCTTGCAGTACGTACACCTACACACACTAACACTAAACCAAGCAGTCTAAATGTGCCTTCGGCATCGTTGACTAACCGATTGCTCGTACTGAAAATTCATAGTAACGTACTTTTTAGCCCTGCTAAATTTTTGCGTCTTGCGTGACGACCTCGTAGGAGAATAACAATGTCACAGCTACAATAGTGCAGTTTTCGTATGACCGCGTGAAAAGTTGACGGCACGAACACGGTCGTGACACAGCAAGGGATACGCCAGACCAATCACATTGCACGAGAATTTACTCTCCATCCAATCAATCACGGTCACGCCAAGGTCAAGRCAATGCAAGACCAATCATATTGCGCGTGAAAAACAACAACAACAACAACAGCCAATTAAAATTCTAGAAAGCATCACGGTCACAGCACATCACGCTTAAGGCACTGAGCTTTTCACAGTCATACGAAAACTGCTCTATTAATGGAAAAGAGTTGCTGCCTTACAAAACAATATCAACAGTATTATCTTTCGAGGCTACGACTAATAATTTGATGGCTGATCCATTTTCTTAAATATTTAAATTTTTAGCTAAGTCTAGCAGTGCTGGTCATCTACAACCCCGCGTCATGGGACGGGTCAGAAATACTTATTGTTAGCGTTGGTATACCCTTCCAGCTAGCGTGGTCCATCTTCGGATGGTTGACGGTAAGGACCCTTTTCAGGTTTTAGTTATTAATAATCAGTTCTATCCTATACCATTCCAATCTGTTTAATCTCAATAGCATGTGAAAACAGAGAGATAGGATCGGATATGCGTATTTTAAAATGAAAAAAAAAATTTTTTTTTAAAGAATTAAAAATAGTACTGGATATTTAAACAACTGAGGCGTATCCAATATTTTACACMCGCTTTACCATCAACCTTAGCAAAATCCCATCGGCATTTATTGCCTTCCATAACAGATGCACGTCACAAATAAACTGCTAATGCGAAGGGGATCACAGGCACGTCAGATCCCCTTCTATACACTCCTGGACAACTCCACGYTTGCACCAACCTCAATAGAATATCCTTCCCTCCCGCTCTCCCCAAAACCACGTTCATATATATTTTTCGATAAGCTAGAATAATGAGCCACAAGCACCCCAGATTATAATAATTGCTCTCTTTTACGAGATATTACTTTTTCTTTGCTTCAGTTGCGCAAAGAAGTCAAGTATCTGTTATTCATTTTCATTCCTGCGTCACTAGTTGAGCCAGGCTACATTTCTTATCAAATATACATGGTGAGTTTTTCAGAATATCTATGAACGAGAAATAATTATGCACGCTCGCGCGTCCACGTCTTGGCCCATCTTTTTTTGAGAACATAAAAACTGTGTTTCAGGACACCAAGCATCGCTAAAATCATTTCGAATTTTTGTTGTTGTAAATTTCTGATGGAAAATATTTTTTGGTAACATTGCTTAAGGGAATTTTGAATTTTKTTATTCTCATTTCTAAAACTACTTCTTTCAAAATGATAGATTCACCAAGATTGGTCAGCAAAAACGAAGAACTGTCTGCATGATACTGGAAACTGTAATCTAGTGTTCTCATTTTTTCTCGCAGGTATTTTTACATGTTGGTACGCTACATTTTTTGAAACTTTCTGGGATGCAAAGGGGCGGGGTGAGCTCGAGGGAAAGGGAAGCTCGAGGGGGGAGGGGGAGTGGGTCTTCGAGATATTTGTTTTTTCTTACAATAGCTTTATTTGGAGTTCAATTACTATGCGGATACTCCAATCGGGAACGCTTTGACAAACTAGTATCATTAGCCAATCATAGTGCGACATTTAGTTCAATATTTTTAATCAGCCAATCAGATAGCACATCAATATAATAAGAGCGTAAGAACGTGATAATCTGATTGGCTGACACTGATATCAGTTCAGTTTCTGTCTAGTTTACYGTTATCTGATTGGTCAGTTTTGTTCAAGTGGTCCCGGTTAGTGTGTCCACACAGTAATGTACCATTTCGTGTATGAGAAGCCAAATAAACTACTTACTGTACTGGGCAAGAAGGGAGAAGGGGGCTGCTTTGAATAGACAACCAGTGACTCGATCTTCCCCTAGATCTGCTTTAATTAACTTGTGTCTGATCATATCCATTTCCAGCTGGTTTGGCTTTGYTGGTTAGAATACTTGTCCTCTGTAGTCTTAAATTTGTTGTTGACAACTTTGGCAAAGGACTTCGGGAATCCGGTGAGTAGATGTAATAAATCAAAAACAAGTTCGATTGTTTCATCGTGGGTTCCGAACACCGTGAACTTAATGAAAGCACCTGGAACATACTCTACGCTTATCAAAGTCAAGGCACAACTAACAGATTAAATGGGAATTTAGCTGGTTATTTTTGAGGAGGGAGGAAAATTGGAGAGCGCTGAGAAAAAATATCGCCGAATCGAGGGAGAATAARTAACAAAGTTCGATTCAGGAAACCAGTTCTTCTCCAGCAATTTATTACTAAGAAGATATAACTAGCTAAAAACTAGTGTGAGCTGCGTCGGTGTTTCTATGAAACAGTAATGATAAAAAGGGTAAATTTTATACTGTAAAAAGATGAGAAAACATATTGACGTTTCGGACGCTAATCCTTCGTCTAATCCTTACTCCGACGAAGGACTAGCGTCCGAAACGTCAGTAAGTTTTTTCATCTTTTCACGGTGTAAAATTTACCCTTTTTATCATTACAATTTATTACTAGTTATGAAAAGCAGCTGCTTGTCTCAGATTCTGACATTGATATTTGTCTCTCTTCTACAGTTTATAATATCCCGGATGCTGACCACAAAACACCACTTCTACCAAGAAAAAGAGACATAGCGCAATGCTGTGGTGTTGTCTGTTGTGGTCCACTTGGTTAAAAAACGATCTTCAGTCAACCTACACATTGGTGCTAATACAAAATTCATCTCCATGGTAACAGCACGCGATAATATTTGCATGCGTGGTAACCCCTAGCAACGTCACATGGTAACAGTGCACAGGGACCTTACTTTACTCTTTCTTAACTCTTACCAAAGATTTTCTGGTAGGAAAAAAAGATTAAGACCTAAAAATTAGATATAAATAACTATACCGCCGGGAATTAACCAAGCATGCACAGAAAAGAGAAAAGATAGTGGTACAAATATATCTTTTAACATACAGCATAAGGCTTCATAGTTTATACGATCACGAATACCCCAAAGCATCATGAATTGGAGTATTCGTGATAGTATAATAAAATCCATGATGAATAATCTTTGAGTCCGACAATTCATCAGTATTTTAGTTACTGATTTATCTATTTTTAATTATCGCTTCAACATATGGTAAAACTTTTTTTTYCACTCGCGATAAGATTATTTGCTTTACTATTTTCGATAAAAAACGAAAAGCAAAAGGAAAAAACTTCCGGTCAAATTCTAGGTCGGATTCAAAAATAAATAAAATAAAAAGATTTAAACAATTCGACATTAACTCCCATTGTCAAACATAAATAAATGTAAATAGAAAATCTTGGATTTCTTTACGTGTTGGATGCATAGCTTGGTAAAGCTAAGAGGGCGTTAATTTTAAATATCAACAACTGAAGAGGAGAATAGAGTTCACGGTCTTTGATACGGCAGTAATTGAAGAAAAAAAAAAAAAAAAAAAAAAAAAAAAAAAACAGTGTTGGCGTTTTGCGATTCATTCAGGTGCGCTGGGATGTGTATAGCTTATATGTTTATTAAAAAGTGTCTAATGGTTTTCATATTCTTCATGGAATTTTCTAAAACGAGATGTCTTTAGCTAGCCTGTGGTCTAGTGGTGGCGCTTAGTGATTTACCACAAAACARAAGTGAAATATTAAAACTTCAAATCTAAAAAAATTCTCTTTCCTTTAGTACGAAAACCGAGGGAAAAAATCTTATTATTGGCTGAGTGACTTGAATAAAGATACCACAAATTAGTTTACCGGTAYGTATATTTGCAAAAGAGTTTCTTTTTTCATGGGGAAACGAGAATTTTAATTGCCTTGCCAGGCGCCGAAAGAAATTATCCAATATGGACCCTACATACAACTATTAGACTTAATTCGGAAATTGGAATTATTTAGCTTTTCTCTTTTTGCAAAATACTTTGAAACAGTGTTAATAAAGCAGAGAGAATCAAAAGACATCAATGTGTAACATTTGCAGAGATAATTACGTCTTGTAGCTCGTTATACACATTTACCGCAGAATTGCAAGATCTCTATCTCAACGAAGCGAAAAACAAAAAAAGATTTATCTCAAATGTTCTTAGAGAAACGAGCGAGACGAGAAGAGAAATTTGCGGTTACGAAATGAATCTAAAACACTACTTAGAATGYAGTGAACAATATTTCGAAAAATCGTGTTTGAGGACCGTAGGAATGGACTCTTTATTAGGCTTTGATCATATAAATTTAAAGGGTTTGTATCGATGTAACAATGTCGCCGTGCGAGAATCCTCACTTACTTAGGGAGTCAAAACGCTATTAAAGCTCTTTTACTGTGGACTAAGACATGCTGTACTTTTGTTTCCAATTGTCCGAATCCTTCCCATAAAATAATTAAGTAGTGTACAGTCGTATTTACCGCTACTTAGACAGGCGTCTAGCTATTGAAAAGTACTAAGTAACAAGACGAACTTAAATATTTATTTATTGACACGGCATTTAAATAAATAACTTTCTAATCTTATTCTGTTTTGATGTTTTCTTGCAAAGCAATACGCCCTCACGAACAAAAAATAGATTTGCAAATCTTAGAGGTTTGTGTGTTTAACTAAATCAGTAGGTCGCTTTGAACTTTTAGTATACGGTAACATCATTATGAAAGATTTTGGGCGATAATTTTTGTCAGTTGATGATGGATTTTTTATTAAACCGGGTAAAGTCGAATAATCTTTCAAAAATATATATCATGATTAAAGCATAGCATAGAATTTTTCTCAGAATCTCTACATCTATACGTCTGCTTAAATAAAAAGAGAATTCTTACCGTTAAATGCTGCACAAGGTTGTCTTCCGATAAATCAACTAAACTTGAAAATATCCACCTAATATAAAGAGCTTTTAAATTGAGTCACAGATTGCTCTGTTACGACATTAAATGACTTCAGTCTTTGGACAGAATAGTTGATTTGGCGTGGCTGTCTATTTTTGCTTTGTTTCCAAGGAAACTTAACAAGCAACTACTGACTAATTCATCTTTTAAAAAAAATMTTTTTATCAGATTCCCTTGAGCGCTCTTATCAACAAAGCAGTATCATTCTTTTCCTGTGTTTTTCTTGTTATTTCCTTCCTTTTTCCCTCCGGCTACTCTTTTTTTCCTCCCCTTGTTTCTTCTATGGTCTCCCGTACTTTTTCTTCTGTATACTTTTTTTTGTTTTCTACTCTTTCCATAATATTCTCCTATTTTTACTAATATTCATTATTTCCCCAACGCTTTTCTACTACTTGCCAGTTCATCACCACGCCCCTCCCCTCCCCCTTCTATTCGTCTTTTCTTTTCTGTTTTCTTCTCTTCTATTATGTATTTTTTTCTTGTCTTTTCTCATCTTGCTTTTTCTTGTTTGGCTTTTCTTGCTTGCCTTGCCTTTTCTCCCTTTCCTTTCTTTTCAAGTTTCTTTCGTTTCTCTTCCAGTTCAGAGGTTCTATTTATTACTTCTTTCCCTTTCCCATTTTTCTCKTTCCTTTGTATTTCTAGTATTTTCACTTTCCTCTACCCTAAGTCTTTTTATGTCTTTCCCTTTCTTTTCGTTTTTATGTCGCAGTAAGCATGATTATTACTCATGTTTACTGCGTTATATTTTATAATCCATCCGAAAGTGAATCCTTGAATTTCGCTTCCATATATAAACCTACTTTTTYTATTTTTTAAAATCAGCCTTTACCCCAACAACCACCCATTGATAACCAAATTCATTCTAGATAAAATAGTTCCAGAAAATCAGGCAAAAATTACCATCTTTGTGCTATAAAATTACATGTGTTAGGAGCGTAGCTATCGCCAACTAATCGATGACTAAAGTGAGTTTGGGCTACCTGTGGCTACTTTAGGTTCAGCTTGACAGCCTCGTGATTCCATCAACAAGAAGATAGGTTACTTTAGTTAAACAGCAGAAAAAATCTTCTTATTTTATCCAATGCAGTTTTGAATATTCCTTTGCAAAGGTAAGACAGTTCGTATTCTCTTTATTTATATTTATTTTCCGGTACCATGCCATTTATTGATTTAATTTGCATTTTTTATTGAGCTGAATTCAAGTCAATCTGCTCAGCATTCCTAGAAATATTCAACCAAGATTTTTACTTTTTGCAGAATTTATTGTCTAATTTCAGTTAAATTTTCAATCAAAAAGGTCTTACTTAAGAACGAAAACTATTCCTTCACGTATTTTACGGCATAACAGTCTGCATCCTGGAGACTATTGAGCTTTAAACAGTTAATAAAGAATGCAAAGTGTTGCCCAAGAACTGTGATAATTGTTGTTTCCTTCAGCTTTACTGAACGAGCTTTTATTTTTCTTCTAGATGGATTATGTTAACCACGACAATAAGATCGAGTCTGATGCCGACTCTGATTCAAACAGTATAGATAAATCTCTTCGTGAACAAACTACAGTCACTGCTATTGGCAAGGTTAGCTGTGTTTTCATTTTGTAATACTGTACTCAGCTCGTTAAATACTTCGGATTTTCTAACAGTAATATAATACTCCTTCCATTCTCGTTACACTGAAAGTTCAACCAGATAAAAAAACGATGAAATTAGAATGATAAACAAAATAAACTTAATTTTTGATACAAGCTTTTATAGTTATAAATAGCGTGATTGTTTTGACCTGTGAAACACATTATAATATAATAGATACAAATAATAGATTAATAAGTGCATTTAGGACATTTAGTGTATTTGAGACCGCGACCGGCAGTGTTGGCGAAAATATTATAAGTGACACAAACCAAGTGCTCGGTATTCTATGCCGAGCAAAGACAAACAATCCTTATTAGAAGCAGTGTAGAATGCAAAAAGCGCTTAATATTCCTCGATAAATCTAGACTAGTTTGGCTGAATTTAGTCAATTTTAGATTGTTTTTCTTGACTATCATATTCTGTTTCGTTCATCAAATGCATTTAATATTTAGATTATACATAAATCATTTTCTAATAAGATAAAATTGAAATTTAAATATAATACAAATCTTGCAAGGAAACACGCTTATACCAGTGATACTTAATTGCGCTTCCTGTCTAACTGTTCTGAYGCACCTATTATGTTAACCCTTGGGGGAGGGGGAGGGGGCCAGTTGTACACAGACCCCAGAGTTTTGGCATTTTTAGAGATGCCTGAGTTGAACTTTTATGCCTTATGTTTTATTCCCCTGGGTTGACTGCCCCCCCCCCCCCAGCCCCCCACTTAACCCCACCCTGAACTTTTTTGTGACTGTCACACAATCCAATACCATTTACACCACATGACGGCTAGCATTGAAAAGGTGAATTGATTCACCCAGGGGGTTACTCTAGGATTCAATACCATCTATAATTTTATCCATACCATGAAACAATTTGGAATGATCTACAGTAGGTAAGTTCAAGGCTAATTCCCAGATTAAATTGAAATTAACTTGTTACGGGGCCCGGGGGGGGGGGGGGGTATATGAAATTACGCTCTCTCCTCTCCGGAACAGGGTATCTATTTTCGCACTACCGGAAAAGGTTTTGTTTTTTAGCGATCTTGCTCTGGAACAGGGTATGAATTTCAGCGATTTTACTCTGGAACAGATTCAGGGTTCAGAGGGCTCAGCGGCACATCCCTACCCTAAACGGGCAAGAGTAAAACCCCCCCCCCCCCCTGGGGTTAGGGGGAAGAAAACTCAAATGGAAAGAAAGACCTAGCATTCCCTATTCACATGCATTGCCAAGAGCAATGCCACAGACTTCACAGGTGAGGGGTGAGTGTACTACTGCGCTAAGCTGCCCTTTGTTTCCTTAAGTGAAAATACATGATTCTTTTGTCTAACCCAATCCCTGTTTTAATTACAACTTTCAGACCAAAACATTTGCAGGACTAGAAAGAGAAGAATGGCTATTTGTGACCATTTCTTTGGTGAACATCATCATAACTGTAGGGTTTACCATAAAATGCATGGTCGATGTGCACTCTAACTCTCCTGATTTTACCTTTGCTATTATATTACTGGTCAATGCTGGTAGGTACCAAGACTTTGGTTTGGGGTAAATATTATATATCAGAGTAAAATGGTTTGAACCCAGGTGTTGAAGTTTGTTGTGAAATGTGATCATCCGGGTGAGTGTAGTCTTGAGAAAGACTGTGGTTGGTGGTGACTGACAGTTTGTTGTGAAATGTGATCGTCCAGGTGAGTGTAGTCTTAAGAAAGACTGTTGTTGGTGGTGACTGACATTTCAGGCTGTCGATGATCACATTTCACAACATATATTATATATCATATATATATCTTGGCCCAAGTGCCATCTGACTCTCCTGATTTTACTTTTGCTATTATATTACTGGTCAATGCTGGCAATACTTTGATTAAGGTTCATTCATTCACTGGGAAGATGGGATAGATGGGATTTGTCACCTGGGTAGCTCAGTTGATAAGAGTTTCCTTTGTTGTGTGGAAGCTTACAAGTGGTTCGAGTCCCAGCCAGGCCAACACTCTGGGTCTTAAAATAACTGAGGAGAAGGTGCTGCCTTTGTAACTACAGATGCAAATGTATAGACCTTCAAGTCTTCTCAGATAAAAACTTAAAAAAAACTTTAGGCTCTATCTGTCTTCACGATAACCTTGTGTAAGGTAGATGTCAAAGACCCACTGAAGAAGCTATGGCCAACTCCCCCTCACCCCCCCCCCCCTCCAAACATTCAGGGCTATGAGTGGGAGATATTTAAGATATAGAGGATATTACATGGGCGCGCGGAGATACGAAATTTTATCTTCGAGTGTTGAAAAGATCTCTCACAAGTGAGYGCAGCGAACGAGTGAGAGATTTTCAACACGAGAAGATAAATTTCGTATCTCCAAGCGCCCATGTAATATTCTGTTTATTATATAATTATCAATGAAAGTATGTTTTGGCTTTTTCAGGCAATTCTTTCCGTGTATTTTTGAATAKCCATCGCAATGGTGTTATCTTCACACGTGAAAATAACATGTTATTTTCACGTGTGAAGATATCAATTTTTCAAAATAGAGAAAAATAGATATTTCATTGGTAATTATATAATAAATTAAGATATCCTAGGCACTGCTTTCAGCCAAGAACTGATTGTCCAAATTAGGGAAGAAAGGATTAAATTATACGTAAAGTAAAAGTGCAATAATTCTTCCTACAGATTTTGGAAATTGAGGGAAAGTAAATAAATAAATAAATTCTTCTTTAAACAATCTCCACTCACTTTACTCAGGCTCATGGTCCTGTTAATATTTTATTTATTAGGCTCCCAAACCATTTCAAACTCGTAAGTTAGCATGCGTTTTTGAGTGAGCACTTTAAGTGATAGTGAGTGTGACTTGGTACAAATCTACCCAGCACTTCTCTTGTATCTCTGGGCCCGGTTGTACGAAGGAAGGGTGGGTAGTACTATCCGATGGATAAATACTTATCCAGTGAATAAATCTATGCTGTTAGTTTCCTAGGGTCGCCAAATCTGTGACACTCTCTCACCACAGGATYATAAATAATTCACCACTTATTTTTATCTGATTTCAACTTTTAATAAAATGACTTGGAATATATGAATAACAACAACGACGACTGTCTCTCTGCACAAACGGCCACTTCACACTCACTCACTCCCATTCCCCAGACGCACACAGGGAGCCCACATATTTAACTATTGAATAGGACTCATCCATTGGATAGTGCTCTCCACCCATCACACTACTGCAAGGGTGGATCCAAGGGGCAAAGGGGGCTGAAGCCCCCCCTTCAGCAGAAAAAAACCAAAACATAACTGAAGAATTAGATGTTTTTTTTTATTGGTTTCTTTTGTGTTGACGGAAGAAACTCAATTAGCTCCCCCCTAAACTCAATTAGCCCCCCTTTAAAATTTTGGCTGGATCCGCCCTTGTACTGGGCCCTAGCACTGATGAGTGCAGGCTCTACTTCTACTTCTTATTGATATTCTTTTGTTATTTTCAGCATTTTGCTTCTTTTATGCCATCCATGGTGTGCTAAGGGAACGAGAGTTTGAAATCTATGCATATATTGCAGCTGCCACAGTTGTGTTTACATACATCATTATTAACATGGCTGTAAAACCGAATCACATTACAGCAATCAAATGGGTAGGTACAGTAATTAGAGCTTAATACATTGAACTATATAAATCTAATGAGTGAAATGAATGTAATGGAAGATGTGTATGAGACTGACAATGACAGAAAGATGGACAGACAGACAGACAAAACAATGTACCATCAATTAAATAACACCGTCACATTAGATGAAGAGAGCTGAGTTGGTCAATGGTTCTATTTCTGACTCCGAGAGTTTTTCCCATCCTCTCTTTTTTTCTCCCTTCTCTCAAATCAATCCTAACTGATTCAAACTGGTTATAGCTTACCCTGCGAGCAGAGTCTCCTTGTACCTCCTCTTTGGGCGAGAGAGGAGTTAAAACAAGACTCTGCTCGCAGGGTAGTTAGAGCTGTGCTACAGGGTGACACACATGGACTGTATAGAGATTGCCAGAAGGTTCCTTCACACGCTTTTAGTGTGAGCCTATTGAGCTGCATCACTGCTGTACACTTGTGGTGGTGACAAGATTCTCTTAACAATTCCTTTGTCTATCGACAGGCTCGATTTGGCACCATCTTGGTATTTGCTCCTTTCAACATTTACTATGGCATCGTTGTGGCAAGAGGGTTTGGTTTTTTAGAATTCAAAACAGTTGGAGCAGTTGTAGCCCTACAAAGTAATTATATTAATGTTTATGAAAAGCAAATATGATCGTTATTTGGTATAGAGTGTAGTCATTATACCAGTGAAACAAAATCTTAACACCACCAAAATATCAGCTAACTTAGTAAATAAATGAAAAATAACAATAGGCTGATTCTAAAATCACACATGAATATTATGCTACGATGTTTAATCACACCAGAATAAGCCTTGATTAGTTCCCCGAGAAAATAAATTAATTAGTGATGAAAGTATCAGGTGCTGGTTCAATACCAGACTCGTACCCAGTCACTTCTCTTGTCTTATTGATCTCACGCTGTGGTTGATGGGGAGGATTTAGTGAGTTCCTGGTGCATCAGGGGAAGGATGGAAGAGAAAAGCGAAGCGTCACTTTTTCTCTCTCCTTCCCAAAAGCCACCGCGCGCAAAAAAGCCTGAAACAAATGACGACTGGGTACGAGTCTGGTTCAATACCTCCATACATGCAATAAAATTGACAATGTTCTGGTCGAAGGATATTTACTATTTGATGGTATGTAATAATAATAATWATTATACAGCTTCTCATTAATCCCATATAGGTAACTGTCCAATTATTTTCTTAATTGGACAGGTCTTGTTGATATGGGATTAATTAGGCAGCTATATAATTAATAGGTAATGGGATTTTATGCTTCCCAATCAAGAAATAATTAGACTCGAAAAATTCCTYTGACTGACAAATTGGACTCGGCCTGCGGCCTTGTCCAATTTTGGCAGTCCTCGGAATTTTCCTCGTCCAATTATTTCTTAATTGGACAGCATGGAGTCCTATTACATATGCTAATAATATATATGGCTTATATAGCGCTTATACGAGTCTGTTCTAAGCGCTTAGTAACATAACGTTAAAGGAATAAATAAATAAGATAGATAATATGATTATAAAGAATAAGCTAACTTAAATAAATGAGTCTTGAGTTTAGATTTAAATAAAAATAAGCTGGAAATATCTCTAATTGAAGAAGGTAGAGAGTTCCAGAGGAGCGGAGCAGCAACTGAGAAAGAACATAGACCATATGACTTGAGATTATAAGATTTTGAACAATTAGATTAAAATACCTTTTTATTTATTTTTTCATGGGTATGATGACTGTGCTCTATTATAACATTGCATATTTATACTATGTTGTTTTTGTTTTCAGAGATGTACAGAAAAGCTGGGATATTTTCCTGCCTGCTAAAATTTGACTTCCAGCTTGCAGTAAGTATGGCAGTACCAATAATGTGAAAACTAAAGAAATGGCACAAAATTTACATTCTGATTGGCCGTTGGAGAAATATGGCATACAATTTGCATTCTGATTGGCTGGTGGAGAAGATATTTCCCAAAAGAATTCACTTCCCAACCACATCTCTGAGAACTACCTTGGAAATTTTTATTTTTTAAGTTTAAAGTAATTTGAATTGCCCAAGTTTTGACTGTAGTTGACACCTAGACTTGGAATTACAGACAGAGCCACCGAAAGTCCAATCAAGAATTGAGGGATACTGGTCACAAGTGATGTGAATTAGCTTTAAATTTAAAGTTTTTAAAATTTACTATCAATGATGCTTTCCTTCTTTTTTTCAGATAAGTTTAGCAGTTCTTGTCATTTATAATCCCATATTACTGAATCTAACAAACAAGGTTATTTTGGGTGTTGGGATTCCCTTCCAGTTTATCTGGTCCGTGCTGGGTTGGATTATGGTAAGTGAAATGAAATTATCATTCTCTCTGTTCTTTGTAGCTTTAATTAGCTTTGAATACCCTTAAAAAAGGAGCACTGATAGTAAGAAGGGGCAAAGGGTGCACCTTCGCGCACAAAACATGAGCCCCTGGCTCGGGAGAATTAGGCAACCACTCCCCGCGTTATCGAAGTAAAACAAACTATCTTTACCTTTTACCTTTTTTATCATCCTTCAAACCCACCTTGAAAATTTAATATAGTTGGTGCAATTTCAAGAATTTATGGGTGGACATTTCTCCATGTATCCCCCAAATTATCCAACCCACCCACCATTCCAAAACTATCCTATGCAGTCCCTGAATAATTAATATTAGATATCTATAATATTAATCTTAGGACTGATTCAATTTTTTTTAGATGCGTAAAGAATTAAAATATCTTGTCTTGGTCTTCATCCCTGCATCACTTGTGGAACCTGGTTACATTATCTATCGGTTGGATGAGGTATGGTATTGTCTATTATCATTTTATTATAAGATTGATAGGAAGAAGTGGGCTAGGAGAATAGAAGGAAGAAGAGATGGGAGACATGGAAGCAGCAAAATTAGGGATGAAATGATAAGCAGGGAGGAAGAAAAAGGGAGTACAAGAAAATAAAGAAGAAGAGTCCTGAGAAAGATGGTGAAGGAAAGAGGGAGGAGAAGAAAATTAGGGAAAAGAGAAGTGAGATGGGAGAAGAAAGAGGGAGGAGAAGAAAATTAGGGAAAAGAGAAGTGAGATGGGAGAAGAAAGAGGGAGGAGAAGAAAATTAGGGAGAAGAGAAGTGAGATGGGAGAAGAAAGAGGGAGGAGAAGAAAATTAGGGAGAAGAGAAGTGAGATGGGAGAAGAAAGAGGGAGGAGAAGAAAATTAGGGAGAAGAGAAGTGAGATGGGAGAAGAAAAAGGGGGTAGAAGAAAATTAGTGAGAAGAGAAGTGAGATGGGAGAAGAAAGAGGGAGTAGAAGAATATTAGTGAGAAGAGAAGTGAGATAGGAGAAGAAAAAGGGGGGGGAGAAGAAAATTAGGAAAAAGAAATAAAGCAGAAAGGATGGAAGAGAGAGGATTGGATCCAGACAGCAGAGAGACTGTATAAATATAAACTGTACTCAAGAAAACATAACTCACCATGATCTGTATCCCCCTACWTTAATCATTATTAATCAGGACATACGCAACTGGGAAAGCAACACAAATGGGACCAGTAAAGGAAATATGACTGCTATAAGTGCCTCTAGTACTACAAACAATGATAAAGATACTCTCATCTACTGCTTCATTGTTGTGGGTATGTAAAAAAAGCTACCCCCTAAGATTATAATCAGGCATGAAGAGTGAGGGTCTAAGGGGATGGGGCACTTAGCCACATTTGGATATGGGTATGACCCTGAGACTACCAAGGGCTTAAAAAAAAAAACAGTTGGACATTGGGCAATGCAGACCAGTTGTAATTTGTCCAGTCAAATCATTGCCTTTCAGGTCGTTTTCTAAGCCAGAAACAAGCTATATATCACGGAGCTAAAACTATTTTGGCCAATCATCATGACCAGTGACTTACTTGCCATTATTTTAAGCCCTATGGTACTACCCAGTAACCTTGTTTTAGAAATATGTGATGCATGCACACTGTCTTTACTTGATAAACTTACCAGGCATCAGTGGCAGTGAAACTAGGATGATTTTAGGAGTGATGGCTGTTAACTAGAAAGCTGCACCTTTTTTTATCCCAATCTCTTAATCCTCAAAGGCGGGTGAAGGTGGATAGCCACCCAATTCACCCTTCTCCTATATGATTCCACTTTGCTTATAAATAATCATTTGATAGGTTTCATATTGAATGGTTTTGCTTCTTGTACATCTAGCTGCTATTGCTCTCCTGGTTAGAGTGCTTGTCTTGATTGCCCTGAAGTTTGTTGTGGACAACTTTGGAAAAGGCCTTCGGGAGTCTGGTAAGTTTAGCCCTGTCAGACAGGGGGGTGTGGGGAAGTAGGCTGAGTTGAATGTCCAGGTATAGAGGAGGGAAGAAAATAATTCTTACTGCTCTCCTTGTCATTTTCTGCCAGGCATTGCATTCCAGGTATTGCAGTCCAGGCATTACAATCCAGGCACTGCAGTCCAGGTATTGCGGTCCAGGCATTGCAATCCAGGCATTGCAGTTCAGGTATTGCAATCCAGGCATTGCAGTCCTGGCATTGTAGTCCTGGCATTGCAATCCAGGCATTGCAGTNTGCAATCCAGGCATTGCAGTTCAGGTATTGCAATCCAGGCATTGCAGTCCTGGCATTGTAGTCCTGGCATTGCAATCCAGGCATTGCAGTTCAGGCATTGTAGTCCAGGTATTGCAGTCCAAGCATTGCAGTTTAGGGAGCAAGGTCATTTTACCTTGATACCTTCAGTTCTTTTTAGACCCCTTGCATTATTTCCTAGAGGAATGTTCTGGGGAACAAAAAAATGGGCCCTCTCTTCTTATGCAAAAAAAAAAAAAACTATTATTTTTTCCCCAGAACAAATCCTCTCTGGATTCAGTGCAAGGGGCCTATGTCAGATCACAGCCAGCTACTTCAAACTTATGACCACCAACTCAAAAAACATTCTGAAAGCCCTTAAATATTACATTTCTCTTAATAGTATATAACCTGCCAGTATCAGATGACCAGCCACCTCTTCTTCCGAGGAAAAGAGATATTGCTAAATGCTGTGGCATTGTCTGTTGTGGACCTCTTGGATAATGAAATAAGCAGCTTAACAACAACGATCAACAAGGGTATCACCTAGCAACAGTCCCTAGCAAAGCTTCCTGTTTTCTGCTCAGGCAATCAGATGAATATTATGACAGTCAGACTTAAAGCTATGTTATAAATCAGACAGAGTGCTAAAACTAAATGCGTGGGTTAAATGATGTTAAGGTATGCTTCTCACACAATCCTTATGACATGGAAAAGGGATGAAATTCAATATACTAAAAAAATATATAATTTTTATGTAATAACTTATAATAACACAAGTTTTGTAAAATATTTTGAAGTCTTCATGACTTCATTATCGTAGCCTGCGTCACATCCAGAATTTTCTTTGAAAATTCCAGATGTGATGCAGGCTACATTATCGAGTATAAAACTTACTTTGAACACTTTAGCTATTATTCAAATTACTTTGTATTAATTTGCGAATGACCTCCATAATTAAAGTTACTTTGGCAATGAATTTATTTCGTCTTTGAAAATTGTCTTACAAAACTTGTGTAAAGTTGTGTATTTTCCCCTTGAATGCAATTTATAATAAGTTCTTGTTATTGTTCTTGTTCTTAAAAGAACCCATAATAGTTAGAAATAATTCATAACTTTTTCTAAGATTAGTGCTTTGGTTTTATAGTTCTGACTCAGTGTCCTATGTCAACTATTAAAAAAATCAATGCTAAATTAATAAAACCGTTAACAATGCTTAAAATAAGAGCTGGTCAGTCACTAATCATGATGACTAGTCAAATAAGTTTTAGCGTGGTCATACCTTGTTTCTGGCTCAACTTTACCAATGACCGGCAGGGTAAAGATTCACCAGACAAGTCCCAATTCTAGAAGGACATTGTCCGGGCGGGGGGGGGGGGGGTACTCCCATATATGGACTATACGGGGATGATCCGCCGAACAGGGTATAGTTTTTCGAGCTTCTTGTCATAAACAGGGTATGCAATTTCACTCAAGTTCCAAGTTCTTCCTGAGTTTCCTGTCATATTCAGGGTTTCTACTTTTGTATTGACCGAAACTGGTTATTATGGTCGTAAAAAAAACGATACGTGAGATGACATGATATATTGAAACAGGAACTCAGTGCAATAAATTATATCTTTTGTCATGAACAGGGTCTACAAATTTGAGTTTTTTTGTCATAAACAGGGTACCCCTTTCAGAATCCCAGCGGAACACCTCTACCCAAATTCTGGCGGAGTACCCCCCCCGGGATTGTCCAATGTCTGGCCATTATTTTAAGCCCTGGTTAATAATCTGGTAATGTTGTTAATGACAATATAAAGTAAATTGAGAAACATATAAGTAAAGAAATATCGTAGGCATTTATAGGAAGCCAGTGCAATGTTTCTCTCATGTAGATATATGTTTCTCTTTCAAGGAGTATACATTGAATACAAAATTAACATTGAATATATACATACATTAAATGTAACTCTTCCTTTGGATTATCATGATGTAAACATTTAATAATGCCTGTCTACACTCCTTGGAATTACTACCCCCCGTCCTTTAAGAAAATACAGCATCTACTCTGACAATGCTCTAACCCAACTTTTTTTCCAATTTAGCATTGGTACGTTGCCATAGTAACCCAAAAGTATCATGATCACATCTTTATTACTTTGTAATAAGAGGTCTTCATGGGGAATGAGGGGGAACAGTTAAGAATGTTATTACTAAAGACCGTAAATTAACGATCATTATTTCGAACTTGGGAGACTTTGGTGCAGTATGGGCTTCCTGTGGCACATGCCGCATGCTTCGATGATTTCAGCGCGGGATTCTCAAAAGTATTTTGGCTTCCGTTAAAGAAGTATTATTGTAGTCCGCGTCAAATTAAATTTTTTGCTTTTCCTTTGAAACATGGAAAGAAATCAGTTGAAGGTTTTTGCTAAGAAATTGTTAAATAAGCAAGAGTACTTACATTTCAAAAGGGCTTTAAAATCGTTCGAAAAGGATGAACGCGTTTTAGATTTCTGTATGGATTTGTTGGAAATTGTTAATGCTCCGGAAAAGACAGAAATACTCGTGGAGGCGAGGAAAATGCTGCCCAAAAGCAAACAGTCTGAGTTCAGTAAAATTTGCCGTGATCTTGTCAATGAAAGATGGACGATATCTGGTAAGAGTTCGTTACACTACGGCCTAGAATGCAATGAGAATCGTGATGGACTACCGACTGGAAGTCCTGCCAAGAAAGCTAGACAGTGTAATTATAAGCTGCTTGGTAATGCCTTGAAAACTGGTATTTCTGATGGACAATATCGTAGAGAACCTCTGACACTACAACAACTGCAAGTAAGCGAAGGAGGTGACCCTTCTTACGAACGAAAGCATCCCGCCTCTCAAAGACCCCTACCCGTCCCGTATCAAGATGAAAATGGCCTCTTGGCCGGTGCAACAACAATCACGCAAGACGTCCCTCTAGCAAGGGAATTTGAAAAACGCAAGAATACTAAGGTATTAAGGATGGAAAGAGAATCAAATTCGGTTAATTTTGGCTTTAAAATCTTAGGTGACTTGTTCACTGAAAGAGAAATAGTCGTTAGAGAAGTTGACAAGCAGTCCATTGCAGAAAGAGCAGGACTCCGTGCGAGAGACAGAATTACAAGAATAAATGATATGAGCCGTGAACGAGCAAGAAAATCTGACATAGTGCATCTAATTAAGTCCGAGAATGTGTTAAAATTGACTGTGATGAGCACTAAACATTTTAAGGAGGCACAAGACATAGATGTAGAGGAAAGGGCGGTTGCTATAGAAACCACAGAAGTTCACGATTATAATACCAAGAAAGTAGCTATTTATACCAACGAAGATGGTTGGATGGGATGTAGCATTAGAGGGTAAGTGAGGCAATATACTTGCATATAAAGTACTCRGAGGAAATATATGATAGTTGGATGATAGTTGTGGCGGAAAAAAGATGCTCAAACCCACCCTGCAGATATTCTTAGGGTCATCATGTTTCTCTCCCAATTGTGACAAAGGGTTGTGAAAGGGACTTTACAGTCCTAAGGATGTCTGGGGAGTTGCTAGGCTGGTGATACTCCTTCAGCAATTGTATTTACCATTCAATATTTCAGGGGAATGGATTACAGGTGTAAAGTGCATATCATTTCTGTTGCTGATGGTTCACCGGCAGAGAGTGCTGGTCTCAAACAAGGAGATATCATCACTGAGGTACGGTTTTTGATATTCTGTGAACTCAGTAGTTGCAAGCTGGATGCTGAAATTTTATTTTTTGCTGCCATCAAGCAAAGATAAACAATGGGTACCTTTTAGATCTTGACTGGCAGCAGTGAAAAACCAATTTCACAATAAGTCTTTGAAATGTCGGAGCTTGCAGAATATCGAAAACCACAGTAAAATATAAAAATGAATTTTTTTGATTGCTTATTCACTTCAATTCCCCAATCCCATTGCTGTACATGCAGTTTCACATTTCCTTTATATTACAGTTTAAAAATTTGAGGAATGAATGAATAAGTGAAATGAAATGAGGAGTGAATGAGATTGTATATATGGGTTGGTAGAATGGACATATGGATAAAAGGATATGGATGCACTGGTATTGGGATTGGATAAATGAGATAGAAGATGGATAGGTAAATAGAGAAATGATATTTGTAAAAAAGGTCAACATTTTACCTTTTTTTATTCTTAGCTCTTTAGAATAATGATTTTTTGCATTAATTTCTCAGGTTAATGGCATTAGTCTCAAAGGCTGCACACATGTTCAGGCTGTAAATCTTATCCTAACAGCTTCACCTCCTATCTTATTCACTATTGAACATTATGACAACAGACATGATGGTGGTGAGTACAGATTTACAAACCAAAATTTATTTAAATGTCAAACCTTATTCCAAGGTTATTAGTAGACTGTTGCCATCAAAATACTTGATTAACTCAATACATTTTAATTGATTTTAATTCTGAAAATAGGAGTCTTGCAGAAGCCAGAAAGCCAGAATGCTAACAATCTTCCCCATACTCCTCTGAGAATCAATAATTGCAGGCCAAGAAGACTTGAGCAGGGTGCATCAGACATTGCTCCCTGCCTATCACCACTCCCACTACCACCACCACTTCCTGGCTGTTGGTACCAGAATGACAGCCCCTCTGTTGGTGCTAGTGGTGTTGTGAGTTCCCCTTCGGCTCTTCCTCTGAATACCTTGCACCTGGATGGTACACCACCCCCACCATACACTGCCGAGGTTCCCCAGATGCACAAAGTCATTCAGATGGGAGGCAACGCCAGGGAAAATAGAAACAATAGCAATCATGGTCTGCTTCTGCCCATGGAAAGTGACATGCCTTATCAGCATAGTTCAAGAACATTGCAGAATGAGGAGTTGACCACTGAACAGTCAAGAGAATCAGAAAGAGATGCTGTACGACATTCCACTCATAAAGGCAATGATGTTTCTTCTTTAAGTAAAAACGCCTCTTGTTTGCTTGACATTGAAACCTCGTCAACAGGAAACACCTACATAGTTCTTCAAGATGCTGAAATCAATGATGCTTCAGGTAATCAAGCAGAGTCTAATTCTGAGAAAGAGGGGGCAAACACAAAGCCAAACAGTCAATCCTCTTTACTGGAAGCCATCAGAAATTTCAACACAGGATCACTAAAAACTGCTAAAGAAAAAAATACTTTACACACTCCTGGTAAATTGTTTCCATCAAGTAAAGCAAATGATTCTCTTAAGGCTGATACAGAGCATGTTATAAGAAATGGAAGTTCAGTGTCCAATGAATATCAAGCTGTAGAGTCTAGTGAAGCTGATCTAAGGAATATTATAAATCAGGCCTTGAAGAAGAGAAGAGCAGACATTTTGGATTCCTCTCAAGAAAGTGTTAATGAGAGTTACTGCAGTGAATGGGATCTTTAATCCCTTGCTTGCGATTAGAAAAGATGGGAATAAAATGGAACATTCAAGAAAAGTAGAGTGAGATCTTGAGGACAGATGATAAAGAATAATTTTTGATTGCTTAGAGAATGAAGAGTATAAAGAGTCATGTGGAAGTGGATGAGAGAAAAATAGGCATCGCAGGCATAAAATATTTAATTTTAAACAATGGGCAGCCCCAATATTGTACATAGTGGATTGGCTAATACCTTAAGTTACTCACATGATAATAAGTCTTTGAAAGAAATTTACAAAATGGTGTGTGAGCGTGTATGTAATATATGCAATATATATAGAATGCTTGTGTGAATGTGTGGCATTCTATTAAGACTCTAACAAGAATACTCTTTTTTTAGCAAGCTAACGGCTTTTCAAAAAATCTAAGTATTTTGTCTATTTTGTCTCGTAAACTTATGTCAGCAATATAAACACATTTTTGCTTCACATCGCAACCCAGAAAATGATAGTATCCATGATAGACAGTTATTAGCTCAAATCTTGCAGAGGCTACACTAACTCTTAATATATATTTATGATGATTAAAATCTCGTGAACTAACTAGTTTTAAAACCAAATTTTATACAATYTCCTAATTTAAAAACTAAATTTACAATCTGCCAAGTGCTTCCTTTTCTGAGATTGATGCAGTTATTTGCTGTAGTATGTGTCTAACATACATAGCTTGAGAAATCTTGATACGTCCTTCGCAACCAATAAAGACCAGAGGGTTCCCAATCCTTGTTAATGTTAGGGCACCTAGATTAACTCTGAAGTGACGATAAAAATGAGATTCCAATGCTTTCATGAAGCACGAAGACTCCTCGTCTGTGAAGATAGCTGAATTGTTTGTGTGGTGGCAATTCCATAATTTTTGAGCATCCAGTGCATTTATGCTGTAAATCACTCTGTTGAGTCCTTTCACAGATGACGGTACACTGTAACAGAGTTCTAACTCTGACTTTGATCCTTTAGGAACAATACCTGCCCATAGAGAAGCATACCAACTCAAGTCCATAGGAGAAAACTGCATAGGTATCATCCTACAGTCAAACTGTGCTTCAAACCAATTAAAAACACACTTGGCTAAAGCCATAGGTCCCTTAACCAGACATACTGGAAGAGAGGTAAAACACTCTACTTCTCTTTTGTCCTCGAATTCATTCCCAAAATAACAAAAAATAGCATCCAAGACTGGGATTCGTAATTCCATTCCATTGGCATTCTTTACAGTGTTTTGCTTTTTCCTCGAAAACACTTTGATTCTAAGCCCTGTGTAGTCTGTATCATAGAAGGAGAAGTCTTTCAGAACGTCAAATTCTGCCCTAAATGTGCTGTTCTTTAAATCCTCATCGACTTCGAATGCAATTCCCTTAGCAGCATCTGATTCAAGATGGGCTGATAAAAGCTTTTGGTATTTCTGCAAAGACGACTTCTCGTAGTCGAAGTTATACAAAGGAGAGCACTGATTTATCCTCCAAGTCTTCCCAACAACGGATAAAATGTCTTCATTTATCTCGGTTAGTTCTTTTTCCTTCTTTATCGTAGCATTTGGAGTCGGTTTTCCTAAAACTTTTGCTTTGTTTACAGGAGTAAGATTCGTCGTATCCCTCAAAACGCCTTGTTCTGAGCTCGGCGGATTTTTTGTAGGAATTCTTGAAACACGTCCAGTTTTAGGGGTTCTTGTGTATGGTGTGTACCTTTTAGAAGACCACGGTGTTCTCAGGAGTGGTAGTTTGGTTTTACTTCGTGCGGTAAAAGAAGAGAAACCCGTCTTGTTTTCTTTGAACGGATCAGACATTTTGAATCAGGCGCCCTTCTACTGCGAAAGTCTTTCGTAACGGTTCTTCAAGGTTAGAAACTCGGAAGCTAGTCGGATTTTTTCGGAACAACGTCGGGCTTGGTTCGGACTCGCTCACACATGCTTTCTCTGTTTCTTTTACTAAATAAAATGCTTTAGATTAAAAGAAAATTCTGAATAATAATCAATTTTTGAAAGTATTAAAATTAGTTTTTCGTCTTTATGAGTTTATGTGGTTGCTGGGTAGTATATTCGTAAGACATGATTGAACTACAAGACGCAAATATTTTCGTACCCTCTAGCCTAGTAAAAATTCTTAATAAAAACGCTAAGGAAGCTTAAAAAAGAACACTTTTGACTTAGAAATATTGAGATATTTGAAATGCGCTATATAAAAGGGCTTCGGCTGTCGCTTCGGCTGATACTAAAAACTTTGGCTCCCTGTGTGAGAGTTAGCAGGCGTGGATGCTGTTTACCGGTGTGTCGTGGAAGCGAGGTCTTTATGCCACGTTTGGTTTTTCAACTGGGCGAAAATGGTGAGAGCTGATTTGTCGTGGATATTCTTGCATTTTTAAGTCTTTTTGAACGATTATTTTTACCAGTAACCTTCCAAACACTAACCAAGCTATTTATTTCCTCCATGAAGGTGTCCATTTTGAACACGGTTGATACCTCGCATGAGGATATGGTCGTAAGTATGGCTGTCTTGTTTTGTAGAGAAGTTAGATTTTGCCATGGATATTTTTCCGTCAAAGGTTTCGATTCAGTTGAAGCCAGCCACAAGGAATAAAATTAATCGAAAATTGTACCTGTCATGCTTCGCTTGTGCTTTTCTTGGCGACTCACTGAGACTGTATTTTATGTTATTGCCCAAATTAAAGATCTTGGAAGAGTGTTGAAAATACTTACTCCAAGTTGTCATAGTATTCAGAAAAAATGCATCTAGATGAAGTTAGTTTTTCTCGTTTAGGAATAACAGGATTGGAGTTATTCTGTGAGCTTTGAAAATGTGATGATGAATCATTGTGAAAATTTCAAATTAATCTTAAATTGATTTTAAAAATATAGCAAGTATTATTTGAAGTTTATTAGCTATCATTGTGTATATATTTTGATCAATTTTACTCTCAAGCTGTTAATTCTTCATCAGTCAAACGAATATTAAGTACGACAGATTTTGTGTGACCAGGAAGCATGATAACATGGTCTTTTACTGACCTCTGAACTGCATTCAATTGTGTTTTATTTTTATCTTTTTTCTTTGATGGTTAAGAGTAGAAGCCATTTCAGATCATGGAATGCAGCTCACATCTTACATACATTCTGTTTATGCTTATTAATTTGAAATTTTCAAAATGATTTATCGTAGAGAGTATAGATTAATATTATACAAGGGGGAGGAGGATTCAGGAATTATTTGACCACTCTTCTGGCTATACAGGCAACACCCCTCCTACAGAAAGTGGATATTCTCTGAATCTGCATTTTGGATCAGCAAGTGTTTCAATTGTTTCTACAGTATTCTAGGAGGGGTGGGAGAGTGATATTCCAAGAAGTGTCATGTTACATGAAACCATATACTTTATAAACGATTGTTACAATACTCTAAATTTGCACAGACTTTCCTCACCTTACCTTGCAAACATGTTGTTCTTAATTCTGGTATATATGGATTTAATATTCTAGCACGATGCTCAAATGGACTATTATGGCAAAAAGCTTGCAACTTGTTCATCAGATAAGACTGTAAAGATATTTGAAACAAGTGGATCCCAGCAAACTCTTGTTGCTACTTTGAGAGGGTAAGTGGTGGCTGTTAAAATGAGTTCTGTTTAATCATCTGCTGATAATAACAACCACATTCTTGTTGACATGTACGGACACACTAACGGAGACCACTTGAATAAAACTGACCAATCAGATAATAGTAAACTAGACAGAGATTGAACTGATAACAGCATTAGCCAATCAGATTATCATATTCTCACGCTTTTATTATTTTGATGTGCTATCTGATTAGCTGGTTGAAAATATTGAACTAAATGTTGCAATATGATTGGTTGATGATACTAGTTCATCACAGTGGTCCTGGTTGGAGTATCTGCACAGTAAGACTCTGATAACAAAAGCCATATTCGTATTTAATGCGATACCTATGGGGCGCCGATCCAGTCAATATTCTCATCATTTATTTCATGGCTTATTGTATTTTTATTGTGGTCTTTGAATTTGCTTTTATGGTGATTATATTTAATTTTTGGTAGGACTGAATTTGCTTTTGAAGCACCCGAATTTACTTTTATGGTCATTTGTTTTATCTTTGGCAATCGAATTAATATATTCTAATGCAGGATTTTTTTTATTGTGATCTGAATTTATTTATGGTCTTTGGATTTTTAACATGCTAATTATGATGCATTGCGAGCTTCGATTTGACCGAGTGAGAGACTGGTTGTCAAATACTAACATTAATGCATATTCATATTTTATACACATCTTCCTGTAACTGTGTGACCCAGACAACCACTGGTTGCAATTTGAGATATCTGGGTTGTGGTTTCTATCAATCAAGTTTCAAAATGTTTTAAGTCGGCTTTAGATGATTTATGGATCCCAGAAACCCAGATGTCATAAGCTGTGTTGGTCACTCGTTTTGAAAATAAATATGAGTGTTACACACAATCTGAATGGTCAAGAACTGTGCTAAAGTGAACAGAGCGTGGTTGCTGACACCATCTTTGTGTTAACTATATCTCATGCTTCTCTTTTTGCTTCTTTTCTGCCTTTATTCATCTTTCGTTTGCATGAACCACATGCTGAATACATGAAAAGAGCTATTTTATTTCTTAATTTAATGGCAATTTTTAGGCATGAGRGTCCAGTGTGGCAAGTTAGCTGGTCTCATCCAATGTTTGGTAATCTTCTAGCATCGTGTTCTTATGACAGAAAGGTGAGAGGGGAAAAAGAACAGAGAAAAACTGGGGGGATACCTTTGCTTCAAAATCACTATCATCAAGTATATTTAAGACCTTTTTAATATAGAGTACCTTGTCTTTGTCAGGTTATTATATGGAAAGAATCAAATAATGGATGGGCAAAGCTACAAGAATTCTGCAATCATGATTCTTCAGGTAAGTTTAAATTCCATGAATTAGCCCAGTGTACTTGGGGGAATAGTTTCCCTTTTCAGTCCACTTGTTATTCCCTTGAGAATTCATTTTTTGATTAGTGTTTTTATTCACATCACTATGTATACTCAAACTTAAAAAGAAGATGCTTTGGGGGTTGACGTGTGATCTGAAATATAAAACATAAAATAACTGTTATAAATCTCGCATTCTGATTGGTTGGAAGCGCGTACTTTATGAGAGCACACAGCACGCATGTGCCCTTTGCATTTTATAAAAGAAATAAAAACCTTGCTTGCTGTACTGTGTGGAGTTATAAAAGCACTTGGGGATTGGCAGAACACTTAAGAAGCGTCGAGAAGCACTCCACTACGCATCATGATTCTCCTAACGCTTCTCTTGTGTTCTGCCAATCCCCTCATGCTTTATAACTGCACACAGCATGCACGCACGTTTTCTATTTCTTCAGTGTTTCTTAAAGGACCTAAATTATCTAACTCATGAGGTGTATCCATATTTCTGAGTCTTCTGGCATGCAACCAATAAACCAAAAATAATACTCTGGGGAATGACATGTGGTCTGAAATGGGGACACAGTAAATTAGGTCCAGTATTGTGGCCTTGAAGCTTATTGAACAGTTTAATGTTATAGACACAGTTACACTCTATTGCCTCCAAACACTTGTTGCATTTGAGTCTTTCTATATTATATTCATTGTATTGACCCAAATGCCTTGACATGGAACAATTGTCTGAAGGCAATAGAGTGTAACTCTAATACCTGCCATCCATTTATCCTCTAATAGTAATACCTATTCACCATTTTCCATACATCGGTTYACTAGTCAAACGCAAAGCATTCAGTCGAGGTTGCAAAGTTCAAATTTGAATAATCCTTTGAAAGTACCTTGGCGCCTCGCTTGAGCACTTTGTATGGAAAATGGTGAATTATGAAATGATAAAAGTTCTAATTTTCCCCCAGTTAATTCAATCTGCTGGGCTGCCCATGAGCATGGTTTAATGTTAGCTTGTGGATCGTCTGATGGTTCAGTCTCTATTATATCTAGTCCAGGTAAGTCCTGCATGATATATGTATGTTGAACTGTCATTCTAGAGAAAAAATATTAACTTGTAAAGTTAAGTAACTTGGAGCTCACTCGCTGTAGCAGAGAGCATGATAGTATATACCCTACCTTATACCCTATTCACACCTAAACGTGCTTAGTTAAACTATGTTTTCATTAGGAAAAAAATTGAGAAACTAGAAACCTACAATATAATAAAACTTTCTAAAATATTGTCAGAGCAAGAAAAAGGATAGTTTGCATGCATTATTTCACCAAATATTGTGCAGTGTTCGTAGATAGTTTTCCAAACCTGTTTAGTTAAACCACTTTAAAACATGTTTAAGCCTTGGTGTGAATGGGGTATTAGAATAAAGGTTGATCAGTTGCTGTCCATGATGACTGGCCAAGTTAGTTCCAGCTTAGTCATACTTTATTACCTGGTTAAACGTTACTGGTCAAAATGACAGGCAAGGCAAAGATTTGACTGGACAAGTCCCAGTTCTGGCCAGACATTATCCGATGTCCAGTTATTTTAAGCCCTGTGTATTGCTTTGTTTTTGCAGGTGATGGTACTTGGGAGAGTAAAAAGATAAACAATGCACATACAGTAAGCAAAATGAATTGCATTTTTTAAATTGATATATAATCAGTTTGATATACGACCTCTGATTGGTCAAGAATTGTGCTGTATTAATGAACAGAGCACATTGATGAAAATTCACAAAGTGGATTTCTAAAATATAACATTTTAATAGCTATTTTTGGTGCTAAATTTTCCCTTTAAAATTGTTTTTGGTTGTATCAATTGGTGGATGTCTTACGTAAAGTATGGTACAGCTATGAACTTTAATATATTCTTAAGATTATTTCATTTTTGTCTTCAATTCTAGATTGGATGTAATGCAGTAAGTTGGGCACCGGCTGTCTCACCAGGATCGATTCTAGAGGTAAAGAATATAGTTTTCTTTAAGATTTTCTTGTACAAAAGCACACTGTGTAGTTCCAGAAATTATCCATACCCCACCCACAGAGGAATTTGGAATTTCTGAAGGGTATGAATATATAGAAGGGGGGTCAAAGAAAGAACAAAATTGCAGAGTTTGCATGGAAGAAAATYGGAATTYCCAAGGGTGGGGKGGGGGTGGGTGTGGGGTTGGTTTTAACCCCTAATATTTCAAACCTTTTCTCTGGTCCCCAGGAGGTTTGAGATAACATAACTCTGCTGCAATTATCCCTTAGCTTGAAAAGTATTCAAGTTGTAAATCACTTTGTTTGTTTCTATTCAGCATCCTTTATCCAAGGCTGGAATTGTTGAAAAAAGATTTGTAACTGGAGGATGTGATAATCTTGTCAAAATTTGGAGGTAGATTTTTTTGTGCATTTATTTTGCTAGATCTTTTCTATTTTCTTTCTTAGGATCACACTTTATTTACCCTTTACTCAAAAAAAAATATTGAACTTCCTCATATGACTATGGATTTATGGGAGTTGATGTAATATATTCATAATAATACGAGCAAATGGTGTAATGTATTCATAAAAATACAATGAATCACACCTAATAAGATAGAGAAAATGACACTAGAATACAATAGATTTTCTGAATTACATCAACTGAGTGCTATGTAGCTTCTCCCCTGGATTTATTGTTGACCCCTCCACTTCAAATGACTACTTCGACTCACTTCCTTCCCAAATGAAATACTTTCCTTTGTGGATAAACACGTCAGACTGGAATACCGAAGACGTGGGTTCGATTCCCGCCAAGGGCATTTGATATTTTTTTCTTATTCTCTCTTTTTCATTAAACACACCGAACGCATAATTTATTACTACTATACTTTGTGAATAAATGTAGAGAGGTTGATGGTCAATGGGTTGAAGAACAAAAGTTAGAAGCACATAGTGACTGGGTAAGAGATGTTGCCTGGGCTCCTAATGTTGGTCTTCCTACATCAACTATAGCAAGCTGTTCTCAGGTAAAATATATAATGAATTTTCTTTATCAGAAAGGTTTATTGTAAGTATTATAGAATTTACTTACTTAACTTTTTTGACATTTTGAAGCCATCAGGCATTATTCTCAAGAGTGAAGAGATTGATTGAGTTGCAAGTACTTATGAAAATGTCGGAGAATAAATTCAGCTTAAGTCCCATCAGAATTGTATGTTTAACAATGGCTTCAGTTCTTTGGAAAAGGAAAAAAAAAAACCCCGGGGGGGGGGGGGGGGGGCGTGGGGAAAAAAGTACCAGGGTACTTTCTTATCGGTAAAAATTCACGATTTGGTATCTCTTAGGGCGTTAAATGCGATTTTTTKAAAATCAGCATTTTCTGGCATCTTTTAGGGTGTCAGAAAAGGAGAGAAGCGCGCATCGATATGGCTTATCCTAGGCGCTTTTTAATTCCAGTCATAAACAAATTTTAAACATTTTATCTTTGCATTTATTTTAATTTAATATTATTTGTTGTGGTATCTCTTAGGGGTTAAAACTCATTCAGCCTCGCCCTTTTTAAAGACTTCCGGTATCTTTTAGGGGTCTTTTTGAAAGTTTCAGACGAGCATCCCTGGTACTTTTTTCCCGGAGTCCCCCGGAAAATTAACAAACTCTACTTGCATGTAATGCGGAGTCTTGGAAATGAATCCAAGACTACGGCTACACCATACTTCCTTGATTCCAAAATAAATCTTCGCATTGAAAGAATGTGACACTAAGAGCTAACTAACTAGTAGACTGTATTATTTACATATATCCAGTAACTGCAACACGACCTTATTACCAGTAATATTATGACATGCCAAAAATATAAAACCTTTGAATGATAATTTTAGATCCAATAAAGAAGGTTTTTGTTTCAGGACTGTCGTGTCATTATTTGGACAAAGAATGAGGAAGAAGGAGAAGATTGGACCTCTAAAGTGTTAAAGAAGTTTAGTGATGTAGTTTGGCATGTCAGCTGGTCTGTGACTGGGAATATCTTAGCAGTATCTGGTGGAGACAACAAGGTAAGTTATCAATTGAAAGCAAAAATAATATCAAAGATATGAATTATTCTTCAAGCAAATTTTTCTCTGTAAAAAAAATCGGAGCTCTAGCTTGAGAAAAAATCCATTGAGGAAACATAATTTATATCTTTACAGTCAAAACGGCTCAAGCTTACTTAAAAATTGAAATTTATTATCCTTTCCGAGAATACAAAGACTCAGGATTTGAAATAATAACTGATTCAAAACTCGAATTGATTGTATTATTCCATATCAGGAACACCCTAATCCAAAATCAGAATTTGAATTTTGAATCTGTCATTATTTTGAACCCTGAGTCTTTGTATTATCAGGAAAAAAAAAATTAAATATTCAAACAATGAAACCACTAATGGCCCCCAAGGGGTAAGCTTGAGCCGTTTTGAATGTAATATAACTGTCCAAGGACAAAAAAAAACATTTTAATAAAAAAACCTTTCCACTATTTATCTTTTCTTATTATCCTAAAGAGGTTTTGCCCCATCAAGTGGCGGCAGCCATGCTAGATGGCAGGAACAATACAATCATTTTACATGAGAAAAAATTCAATTCCCGAGAGCACAGTGATTTCATTGTTGTGCCATCTTACTACAGCAAATTCAAGCTGTATTATGGGTGTGGGCATGTGATGGTGCGAAACCTCTATAGTTTATTAGCCAGTGGCCAAACAAACCTTCACAATCTCATTTTAAGTGATAATTTTACTTATTGTTGGCTTCAACATCCATAGACCACTCCTATGCTATTTTCCAAACCCTTATTTTTTTATCATCTGACCTTGTAGCTCTGCTGTCGGAGTACCACTAGTTTTTATTCAAATTATGGTCTTCACTTCAAATTTCGTATCATTGACTTATATAATTTTTTTTTTTCCATTGCTTTATTAGGTCAGCCTATGGAAAGAATCTCTCGAAGGACAGTGGGTTTGTGTCAATGATGTAGACAAAGGACAAGGACAGGAGCCACTGGAGTAAGCCATGTATTAGGAACAAATTTTGTATAGAAAACCTAAATTAATAGCTAATGTGTATGGGAAAGGCAGTCTGTTGAGATGGATGGAATGCACTCCATACTTTTATATGATGAGAGGAATGAAACAAGGGATGAAAGAAGACCAGATCTCGTAGCAGGAATCTATTTTCTAAGGTTACTATAGAAAATACTCTCTAATGAGAAAACTTCATACTGTAGAAATAATTTTCAAATTTTCTTGGTATGATGAAGTCTGTGTCTTGTGATACTCATATTTGGTATCTTCTAAAGAACTTCCTCCATCTTCTAGATCTAACATATTTTCAAAAACAATCCTTTTGGTATTTTGACTAAGGTACAGTAATGCAGTAAAAGTATTGCATTATCAGTGCGAACTGAGAACAAAACACATATTGTACAGCATGACTCCAAATACAAAATTGCTTTTCAGTAACCACTTTCACAACCTTTTTCAAGAATTCTTCTTATCCTGACATAGCAATAAAATAATTGATCATTATTTTGCAATTTTAAATCCCCAAGAGTTAAATAATAACAAAGATATGGCAGCCACATTTGGTGTTAATGAGAAATCTCCCTTAAAATACCACCACATGGCTGTGACGATATAAGTTACAATTGGCCATTTACAGGAAACAATCACATGACTGTTACTGGATGGAAAAAAAGTTTGGACCTCCTTTATTAAAATACCTTTTGCTGGATTACTAATGTCAAATCTAAACCTTTTCCAAAATATATTTTCTCCCTAACAAGATAATTTAGATTTCAAGATACAAAGCATTTTAAAGTTCGTTTGCCATCCAGCAGACCTTCCCCAAGAGACTTCATTAGCAAAGTGATATATCAGCACGTGACTGTTTGTTGCGAATGGCCTATTGAAACATTTGTACTGCAAACACTAGAGAACAAACACTTCTGGCAATACACTTATCTGTAAATTATTATTTACTCTCCATCCCCATGATAGATTTAGAAAAGAAGGCATAACAGGTTTTAAAAATTACAGTTTTAAAATATCACAAAACAAATCAATAAAATGTATAATTTGATTTACAGCCATATATAGATCCATTAACTATTTTCAAATTTGCAAGGAGTTTACTCAAGTAATTATCATTGTTGTTAGATTAATTCCACCAAATAACTAAACAGTATTATTAATTATTAACTCAACTATTTAACTGTTGTAGAGTGTATAAAACAACCATAGCAAACAAGGGGCTCCACACTATTTAGTTTAAGTATCTTTTTATGGGTTTGGTGTGTACACTTAGATGAAAGTGTCACAGTATAGTATAGTAGTTGTAAGTAAATCATTTCTTGGTGCTTTCATCAATCAAATGTGCGATGGTACAAATAGGTTGAAGTTTGGGTTAGTACTTCATGTAAGACTACATAAAACAGCATTATTGCTTATAACGTTCTGAAACCCTTAAACAAACCCTAACCCAAACTCAAAAAAACTTTATTACGGAATGCGCCATTTCATGTAGTCTTACATGAAGTAGTAAGGGAAGCTTGATTTACAGAGGACACCAAAGCATTAATTTTATCATTCAAGTATTATTTTTTCCTTTGTTTTCTTTTCTTTTTTCACCTACTAATGATCTTTTGCTCATGCAAAGCTGTTGTGCTGCATATAATGGTCTGCTCATGCACAGTAACATTGCATTTGTCAACATGGCTCGCTTACCTGTGACTTGGTATGTTTAATAGATAGCAAAAATATTACTAAAGCTTAAAAAGAAAGCAACAAATAATTTGAATGATAAAGTAATTATTGGATGAGTTTGAGAAAAATATTGTGATTTGTTAATGGTGAGCAAGGAATCATTTGCCAATGCCGAAGGCAGAGTGATTACAAACCAACAATGGCTCTATTTTGAAGTTGGACTTTGTATTCATACATTTACTTTATTTTATCAAGTCCGACATCAACTTGGGACCTTTATTTCATGCTCACCTAAGCAAATTCTGTAAAGCTCAATTGCACTTCTTGGAAGGGGTGGGGTTAGGGAGTTTGATGGTGGAAACAAGGAGAGGAAAAGTAGAACTGTGTACAACACTACCTACTCGTACTCCCTATGTATCCAAGATAGCAAACAATTCCTGCATACTTGACTCTATAAGCATTTTCATTCCTATGTTATTATCAAGACATATTTTGTGACAAGTTAATCAGCAATGCCAGTAGACCCCTTGCAGCAATCCAGAAAGCAGCTCAATTTGGAGGGCAAAAAAAAAGGTTTCTTATTCTCAGGATATTGAAATTCTTTTGTTTGATCTATAGACTAAATAGTCCCCTTCATGGTTTCCTGCGCCATCTTGAAAGATAGCTGTGTCTTTGCATCAAAGCGAGACGAACGGTGAGCTGGCAATGATAGAGACCTTTTTTTAACGCCTTAGACAATTATTCACATGTCTCTATCATTGCAAGCTCACCATTCGTCTCACTTTGATGCAAAGGCCCAGCTACCTTTCAAGATGGCAGAGGGAACCGTGAAGCGGAATATTGTTAAAATAAATGTATATGGGAACCACTAGAGGTACATGAAAGGATTTATACAATTACTGTTAGTCGATTGTCGATTATCCTGCAACGTTTGCCTCTTAGCAATGAAAAGTGTTGTCTAAAATCTAAATTTCATCACAATTAATGTCTCTTCATTGCCGATAATGTTTGACAGCTTGGACCCGAAATTCAAAATTTATCAGCTATGTCCAGCATGAAGTTTATGACAAAATTCGTTTCGACTTCCAAATTTCTAATCATAATATTTTAGATTTTGGGGATTGTCTAGATGTCGACCAACTTGGCTTCCTAAAAACAAAAAAGGTGATTTAAAAAATTATTAATCCACTGGAAACTAAAGGTACATAATAATTTATACGCATTGACTTTTACATGTGCACATGGACGTATATCTCGGGGTTGAGTCAGACTCATACCCAGTCGTCATTTGTTTCACGCTTTTTTTGCACGCGGTGGCTTTTGGCTTTTTGATCCACCGGGAACTCACTAAATCCTTCTCATCAACCACAGCGTGAGATCAATAAGACAAGAGAAGCGACTGGGTACAAGTCTGTGAGAGTCATTTTGATACACATTAAAGAGATGCAACGTTTCACTTCTTGATCAACTTCATATGTACACCATGCTTGCGTGTGATGCCATACTTTTAATTCATTTAAAAATTACTTTTTAGCATGTTATCTCCTGTTATTGGTTTGTAATATTATGTTATGACTTGAATATAGACATGCATTGAATCAACCATACATCGTGTACAGAAATGCCCATACATGTGTAACGAAATGACCTAAATACTGTGTATTGAAACCGATATGTAACAAAACAACTGATATTTGTTTTACAGTATGACAGCTTTGTATTAATGGAATCAATGCAGTTTTATTTTGAGCTCAGTTGCATGATTTACTGTAGCAATATGATTTATAAAAATTAATATAGATTTTGACTTACTACAAGATGGACTGGAGACTCGGCAGCTAAGTCGATCAAGTCGGGCTGCAAAATTAAGATAAAGTTTAGTCAACACCCCATCCTGTTACAAGACAAATTTCTTACGCAGCAGCTATGTTGACTGGCACAATGAATCTTTTCTCAATAGCCTTGCATTCTAGCCCTTTTAGGATAGATTTACGCTGGGTTTTTAACCTGGATACTTTACCTCTGGTTTGGGTGACATGTGAGATAGATCAATCAAATCTTTAGTGTCAATCTGTAAAACCACTGGGTTCAGACAGTCATCACTTGGAAGATCAGGTGTTGGGATCCCTGGAGAAAATGGATCTACAAAGTCATCTAGAGACACTTTTTTTATTGGCAATGGGCTCTCTTGTATCATTAGATCAAGTTCTTTAGTCTGCATTGCGTCAGGACTGTTGGTTTTACAAACACCACTGGACTGTTTGTCACTTAATTCTGAGAGAGTTGCATCTGAAATTGTATCTTCATTTGGTGATTCAGGACTTTGGGGATCAATAAATTTCAGGTCTTTTTCTTCATCGCTGGTGTTAAAATTAAGCACTACTATTGGTTCATCGTTCTCCTTATTTGATTCAGTCTTCTCACATTGCTTTGATATCGTTGGTGAAAGATTAAATGGAACATGACTTGGAGCTTGAGGAGAACCAGAATCGACATTTTTTTGAGGTTCCATAGTGCGATTAAGGTTTGGTGTTGGTATGAAGGAGCGTCGCTTCTTGCAGTTGACACTTCTGGACATCTGACCGTTTGTTTGTTTTTCTCCTATGGAATAAAGTTTTGAAGAATAATGCATCGTTTTTCTTTGGTTTTCAAATATTCCTCCCTCCATAAAAATCAACTGGTGTCGTTTGTAGTAGAGTTGGTGTTGTTGTTGTGTTTGTTGGTGTTCTTCTTTGCTGCAAGGGTTCTCCTCTTTGTTTTTCTCCAGGTTTCCCTCCCTCCATAAAAAGATTAACTTAAAGGGGCACTTGGATGAAAATCAATGAAAATTGGAAATGATTGGAAAATTGTTTAAGCTTATCTTTATGGCCCAGATAGTAGCCAAGCAACATATTTTCTTCACAGTAAAAAGTGGCGGATAAAAATTATCAATTTTATTCAGCATCTAAATTGTGAGTAAATGACGTCATTTACTCAACCCTATTTTTCTTTTCACTTTTAACCTAAATATCTCAAAATTAATCTGATTTTTATAGTTGTAATTGAGTCATATTATCCTCAAATACTTCAATTATTCGGACTTTCAAAAATTGGGGCGTTTTCATCCAAGTGCCCCTTTAAACTAAATTCCAATTGAAATTTCAGTGGACAATAGCTACTCCGCTGAATTCCATTTTTTATTATAGTTTTTATATATTTCCAATTCAATCATGAAAGAAAGACCACAAAAATAAATAAATAAAAATAAACATTTTAAATTTAATTTAGTACCTGTATTTTTTGGAGTTGTGATGAATTTTTCCTCATCATTCAATTTACTTTCAGGTGTAGTTGGTTTCTTATCTTTGCCAGGCTTTTCGTTTATTCTTTCACCTTTCATTCCTCTGTTAGCCTTTCTTTGTACAGCCAAACCATTTGACGCAGCCTCTGATGTAAGTTTCCTGACAGGAGTAGTTGACCTTTTAACTGTGTCACTTGGAGGTACCAAACCACTAGACTGTCTTTTCTTTGCTGCCATACTAGCAGAAGTATTAATACTGCTTCGACGTCTGATGGGTGTGGTTCCTTTGCTAGGTGTTCTGTCAGCTATAGGAGTCTGAGCTCTTAAAGGTGTTGACCCGGCACTAGCAGCTCTTGGTATACTCTTTGTCTGTGCTGGACTCTTTAGGCCAGTGGCTGACATACTCCTTGCTGAGCCAGCGGGAGCCCGCTGCAAAGCTTTCAAAGGCTGCAATTTGCTTGTTTTTGGGACCTCATTTGGCTTCGCAAAGGTGGGTTTCGAAAGGCCAATTTTAGTAAGCAATGGTTTTGAATTGGGTTGTGGTTTATTATTTCTAGATTGTTTGGTTGAATTTGGAGAACCTGACGATCTGGTTAAAGTAAAAGTTTCATTTAAGGCAGAAGTAGATGATGTACTTGAATTTGACGAGTTAGAACTTGTTCTTTTCCTGCGTCCTGAGCTGAAACCTGGTGCCTTTAGTCCACTTTGGGAAGGCATTGGTAGCTAAAAAAAATGAAAGAGATATATAACAGAGGCATAATTATTGTTCTTTAGTCAAAGGCAAAAAAAGTACAAAACAAACACAAACCTTTGACTGTTTTGTAGTCTCTTCTGTGAAGGAAGTATCACTTGTACTTGAACTTTTCGTGCTTGAAAAGGACCTAAAGATACACAATAGAAGTATTAGTAAATATAACTTCTTGATAGATTGAAAAGCCCTTTTAAGTACTTATCAACCTTTTCTTTTCCAGAAGTATTAGGTTGCAAAGACATCATCTTTGAAACAATACTGAATTTATTTTTCACATTTATAGAACCAAAAAGTGCTGGTTATTTTGTACTGTTACCTGGATATAGACTATGTTTGCATTTTAATGAATTATATCCAGAGTAAATCAAAGCAGAATTTAACAAGAACTTTTCAACATGGCAGCCGCAATCTTTCCTTGTCTAATTATTAGTTTGAGAAACAATACAACCCAAAGAAGTTCCCTTCCTACCTGTCAGCCTTTGAAGACGAGGAAGAAAATTTCCTTGGAGTTCCCACGCTTGATTTCTTGATATCGGACTTCTGTTGGTTTCAGTAGAGGAAGGTAAACTTCAGTTAATGTACCTATACCCACCTAACTTAATATTTTCAGTATTTATTCTAAATAAAGTGAATATTTGAATGATAAAAAATTTTCATATGATCCGAGTGATGCATATTGGAGATATCAAGGTTTATATTTCCTATATGCTAATGAGCGTGATGTCATTATAGGAATCTGAGTTTGCTTCTCATCGTTTTTAAATTGCAACACTGATTACTATGAGAAAACAAATTTGCTATTAACAGGGTTCGTGCTGAGATAACCACTTAAAATTCAAGGACTATTCAAGGAGTATGCAAGGACCCAAAAATGAATTTTCAAGGGGTATGTTCAGCTAAATATGCCAAGGTTTTACACGGTGGTTGCACATGGCTGACTTTCAGATTTTCCAATCTTTCTGACAAGACCTATTTCAAAACCATGCAAGTAATGATCAAAGCAAAAATTCAAGGTGTTTTCAAAGAGTTTCGCTAAAATCATAAAATTCAAGAGCTTTTCAAGTGCCCTTGAAAACGTGAATTAAATTCAAGGAGCTTTCAAGGAGTTTAAGGAGTAGCACGAACCCTGTATTAATTTTCTGACCCATGAGTAAGACAATGATGTTATATACAGGATAATTTGCTGCCCCAGAAAAGTTTTGTATATTTAATCATGCCGATAATGACATCACACTCATTAGCATAGAGGAAATATAAACCTTGATATCTTCAAGATGCATCAATTGAATTATAAGAAATTCTTTTACCATTCAAATATTTACTTTATGTAGAATCAATAATGAAAATATTCAGTTACATAGGTGGTATAGGCACTTTAAACCCGACTCTCGGAAATTCCCTCTGAGCAGACTGAGTCTATTTTTCTTTAGTATTATTGAGGAGGAAAGAAGAATAATAAAATGGAGAGAAAGGAGAGAGGTTCTCCTCACAGGGAACTTGAAAATAAAACAGAGACAGGTTGTACAAAAGGTGGACAGCTCTATCTGACAAAAAAATCCTTATCCAGTGGATAAGTCAATGCCGTTACCCAATATATGTACCCACTGGATAAGATTTGTCTGTTGGACAGAACTATTGACTCCTTGTACAACTAGGCCCAGATGTATAAAATACCTTATTGGCAGGAGACTGAGAATTGTCTTCCACGACCCCATATATGAGCATTTTATTGACTTTAAGTGGCTGTTCAGATCAAAAAAGTGGTATTATTACACTTTAAGCCGCCTGATAACTGTGTCAATATGTGCAGTAAAGCACAACTGCCAAGGCGCAAATTCTAATCATTTTCAAAGCAAGACCCATGGTTTTAATGTAAGATCCACAGATCAAGTTAATATGAATATTGTACATTTTATACAAAAATTAATGCATCTTTGCTTCCCAGGACTTGCTTCAATTGTGTTGACAAGCAGGCTTCAATTCCTAGATATTGATTGGCAACCCCAATGTAATGCTTGGGACCCCAATTTTAGGGCTTATAATAGTGGCTGGTCAACAGAGAATGTCATCTCTTAGGCCAATCCTCTTGAATATGGTCACACTCTGTTCAATTCAATAAAAACCATGCAATGTGGCAAGTCATCATATCTGGCTATTAAGCAGCCCTGAATGTGAGTAATTAAGTGAGTCACAGGACATATGGTTTGAAAAATCCTAGCGCAATTCCTGTAGAACAATATCAAATGAACACGAGGTTGAGTTGATGTCCAATTAGAAAGGCTCTCTCAAAATTGTGAAGGTAATTACTCATAGCTTGATTCAGCGTAACGACTCAGAATATACTAGTCTTCTCCACAGCTGATGTTAGAGATTTCACCAGAACCTTATAATTTATGGCATCAGTTGTCATTCAAAGCTATCCACAAACGAGGGAGAGCATCGTGTGATGAATCTAACAGAGGCTGCATAGGAGACTACTATAATTCTAATTAGTAATTAGTCCTTGAGTCCGAATGAACTATTGACTCATAGGCCATGAAGGCGAGAGGACTAATTTTTTTAGTCAAATCCAACTAGTAGGTCAGATATATAGATGCAAACAAGTAAGTTTTAAATTAAAGCTAAGTTTAATGTTATGGTTTTCAAAGCCAGCACGTTTCRCTACTAGTGGGATATGGCCTAGTAGCAGCTCATCCAATCATAACACAGCATCGATGATAGACCATGGTTTGGATTTGACTAATACTAAATAATGTTGGTTTTCAGGTGTTGAACTCTTTGTGTAAGAAGTGCCAGAAATATAAAACAAGTAAAAATTACTTACAGAATTTTGGTACGTAGATTTCGAATTTGTCTTGAACTTCTGCAGTTTTGATACACTATTACTACCCCTGTTTTGTGCTGAAGCAATTTGTCCTTTCTTCACAAGTTGCGGTTTTATGATAGTGTTTTTTGGAGATTCCTTGTTGATACTTGATTTTATATTTCGTTCCTTTAAAACTCGTTTTCTGACCACAAATTTATCCCCTTCATTTTCAGACATTTTTTCTGTTAATTTGGTTGAGTTTTCTAAAGTTTTAGCAGTGCCGTCTTCATTTTTTATGGTATTTTCACACTTCAATGCTCTGCGCCTTGATTCAGCCTCATCACTGATTAGTTCTGGAAAATCTGAACTAGACTTTTTGTCTTGGTCCTCCACAACAGCTTCAGAAGAACTTGTCCTGAACATAAGGGCCATAGATGTGGCTTCTTTGAAGATTTCTACGACTTGTTCGGGGTTTAATGGGCTCAATGGTTTGAAGCTTTCAACTTCGTCAATGTATTTCGATACTTTAGTTTCTGTTTTTGCAGCCACACAGCGTTCGTTGTGTCCGATCGGACCAAAGAAGATTTCATCGTCTTCTTCATCTTGATCCCTAACATAATTACAAATTTTATCGTTATATTATGCTAGCTATGTATTATTACATTTTATAAAGACTAAGATTTTAATCGATCGTCAAGATCTGTTAGGTAAAACTGTTTAGGAGCTAAAAACCGCAATCAGTTATGATCCAAGCACAACAATGTATGTACAACAATGCAAACATTCAATCTTACCTTTCTTCGTCTGGAGATAACGGTAGATCGAAGTCGAATTTCTCATCTTCGAGTAAAGGAGAATCCATCACTTACACCGAGAAATATATTTAAAAAACCTTTTGTTAGATTTTAAAAATTTATCAAGATTATTTTAGTCCCAAAATGATCAATCGAACCTCTTTCTATTTTATTCAAAGCTCGGATAACAGCACAATCAAACTGAGATCTCTAATTCCATAGGTCAAAATTAACAATTTGGAAAATATAAACAATTTCTTAGTTATCCTTTAGATTACAAGTGTCGTAATTATTAGAATGAGTGGAAAATTTACCTCAAAAAAGAGCGAACTGCCCTTGTATTTTTTGTAGAAAGTGATTAAGAAACGGATTTTGATCGCGGGAAGCATTTGAATTTGACGCACGTGACTACATTGAAACCTTATGATTGGTTAGTTTTCGTTAGGGTGCATTCTATCGCGGTTAAATGTACAACACAGGTATACCAATCAATTCTTTTAATCATTAAAATGATTGAGTTCCGTTAGTGGCAAAGCGAAACTTAATCCCCTCCCCCCCTCTCCCCAAGAAAGCCTGATACTCAGGCTACAAGCTCTGCTACTCTGGACTATAAGCGAGGATCGAAGCGACCTATTATTGGATAAGAAGTTCGTACGTGTAACTTGTATGAAGTCCGAAAGTAAGTTTCGCGTAACGTTCGTAAGCTGATGACGTAAGACGATTGATTAGTGAGTGAGCATATTCAGACCCCTCACAATAACTTGTTTCTACGCTTAGCGTATCCGCGAGTTAAAAACTGGAGTAAGACAAATACATGACCAGTATTGGATTGGAATGACTGATTTATTCTATTCAGTTGCTATAACATACAATAAATAAATATCCAAATACTATTAAATATTTCGACTCATTGAGTTTCATAGGTGGTTTCATTCAGGTGCACGGTTCGGTAAGTACAGTTAAAACATGTTTTCTAATGAGATAAACAAACATTGAGGCTGGGCTACTTGTGCGGGTGGTTGAAATTATTCTTATTCTTATTCTTATTCTTATTCTTATTCTTATTCTTATTCTTATTCTTATTACTTGCTTACAATGCCTTCCTTACAAGGCACAGCACACCGCGGTACTAAAAAAAAACCAAACAAACAAACTGAGCAGGCGCGCAAGTTTAGCCTGGGTAGCCGCTCTTGGGGAGGGGGAGGAGTGGGGCTGGGGCGAGGAGGCGGGGTAAAGGGGAAGGAAAGGAGTACGCCTACTTATCGCCTCATTAGCATATCAAATATTTCCACCAATCAGATTTCAACAGTAGCGAAACAAACTTCTGTCACTTTCACGTGTTGTAAAATTCGCGTTTGTCGGCTTGTTATATTCTTAATTATACAGCGTCTCATTAATCCCATATAGGTAACTGTCCAATTATTTTCTTAAGGTGGCTGCSTACTTTTGAACATTCGAATTGAGCCCACGATGAGCGCGCGCTCAAAAACCGCTGAAAAATCTACAATATTTTATTGAAGGACCATACACGTTTTGAGCTTCAACAGGGCAAAACCCTCAAATTTTGCACGGGACTCTGTATTTTTTAATGGCTCATTCGTAAAACTTCCAAAAATCTATGTTATATCAAAATTTT